CGGACCCATAGACCCTATCTTCCAGGAATCGCTTCTCTTCCTGAACGACGCTGTTAATCGGAAGGGACACTCCTCGTTACGACGATAGATCGTATACCGCGTCGGATTTGTTCGATCGACTTTATAATCGGCTGACAATCCCATGTGAAACTGTTTTATTGCCCGAACACAATCTTCTTTTGTAAGAAACTCGTCACCCTCCTTTAGTTGCCCCTCTGTTATGTAGTTGGGATTGTAGAAAACATTCGTCGAGGGTTCATCGTCACCCAAGTCGAGAGTTGTCATGTGTTGAGGTGGACAATAAACATTGCCGGGTGGAACCTCAGCGTCCTGGTTGTTTACCATATCGTCAACAATGACTTCAGTTGCTTCTTCTTCTTCGTCAATGACATTGACTTCATGGTGTTCATCGTCGGACTCGCAAAAAACTTGAGAAGAATCAAGTTGCTGAGACCGTTATTGTTGTTGTAACGTCACATCTAACACGATATCTGAGAAACCCGAGTAATCGTGATTCTGGAACATGTTACGCACATCTTCATCGTCTCGCACCCTTAACGGAAAAAATTTACATTCTTCATGGCCGGCAAAAAACAATGGGTTTTTGTATATAATTTGCCCAACTGGACCACATTGCAGTTTTTTTTCTATTCTTGCCTTCAGGTGTAAAACATTAGACCTTCTGTCAATTAAAAATCTTGTAACTTCAGTGTTTCTGAAATTGTAACCAGATGTTTCACATTCAAAAACTTCACCATTAAGATGTGCAGAAATCATATATTGTGGTGTTTGAGACATAGCGAAAATTGTGTTTGAGTGTTTCAGTGTTTGAGTGTTTGATGAGAATTTATTTAAAAGTCACAAAATATAAGACTTTATTAAATAGTTGTGTGGTTGAAGAAAACTTGTCACGTATGCTTCACAATCAATGACACGCATCAGGACTTGAACAGACGGAACAGTAAAGGAATCTGGCTGGTCACATGTGTCCCTGCATGCAGCATGGTTGATGGGACGGGACAATGCAAAGTTCTGGCTGGTCACATGTGTCCCTTGCATGCCTACATTGCCCACGCATGTACAACAATGACATACACTTGTCTGCATGCAGTAAATGAACGAATCTGCTTTATGTGACCATGCATGCAGTAAATGAACGAATCTGCTTTATGTGACCATACAACAATGACATACACTCTGCCATTCACATGTAAATCTGCTTTAACATGCAATCAATGACATACAGTCTGTTTGATGAGACGTGACTCTGCATGTTGCATAATAAACTATAATAAATAAAACGCATGCATTATACTTGATAAGACGGGACAATGCAAAGTTCTGCCTTTCAAAAGTGACCATGCATGCCTAAGAGATTCTCTTTCTGCCAAAGCTACAAGTGACCCTGCATGCAGTAAATGAAGGAATCTGCTTTAACATGCAATTAATAACATACAATGCGAAACTCTGTGCTTCACATCTGACCCTGCATGCCTATATTGACCATGCAGGCCTACGAGATTCTCTTTCTGCATGCATCAGGCCACTTGTCTAGCATGCGTGTACAACACACATGCATCAGAACACTTGTTAAGCATGCGTTTACAACACACATGCACAATAACACTTGTTAAGCATGCGTTTACAACATTTCTTCAATCGTGGAATATAAATATAGGGTCTTCTGCCTCACACTCTCAAACTCTCAAACTTTCTAAGTCCTGAACTCTCAAACTTTCTAAGTCCTAAACTCTCAAACTTTCTAAGTCCTGAACTCTCAAACTTTTTAATTCCTAAACTCTCAAACTTTCTAAATCTCAAAATCCCAAACAAAAATGTCTTTACTCACAATGGGTGACTCACACAGAGGGACAACTGAAAACATTGTCGAGTTTGTAAGTCTTTTATTCTTGTCTATGTTTACAATTTTGTCTAACAAAATGTTAGTAATTTTACTCCTTCTCTAACGTAACATTAATTATTTTGCAGGATGTATCAAGGTTTCGGTGTCGTGTGCATGATTATATACCACACGACCCGCTCATTAAGGACTACCTTACTCATTGTGGGTTTGGTGCTGTGCTCAAAATCAAATCTTACTCCCTCGACATGAAATTCATTCTAGCGTTGTTAGAACGCTGGAGACCGGAGACACATACATTTCACCTACCTTTTGGTGAGTGTACTGTGACTCTTCAAGACGTTTACATGTTGCTAGGCCTACACATCGATGGTAAGGGCGTTTACAGCAAAGTTGGTGTACCTGACCGACTTTGCGAATATTTATTGGGTGCCCCTCTTTGCACGGACGCACCTCATGCGAAAAGCGAGGGCCGCCCGAGGGGTCAGGGGATTAATTTAAGATACCTTAGAGAACAATACAATCGTATTGTCTTAACTAATGATAGCATCGAATATGAGAAAATACAAAAAACTCGGTGCTATATTATGATTTTATTTGGGCATTTTTTATTTCCAGAGGGCACTGGAAACACCGCCCATACTATGTATTTACCATTATTGGCCAATATTAACAAAGTGTGCGAATATAGTTGGGGATCAGCGGTCCTCGCCCATCTGTATAACGCACTTTGTAAAACTTCAAAAAAAAATTCATGTACTTTTTATGGTTGTGCTTATCTTCTGCAAGCGTGGGGTTGGTCAAGGATGCCAATGCTTGCTCCAATAAACCGGAATTCTTTTACATTCCCGTACGCTAACAAGTAAGTATCTTTCCAAGATTACTTAGCAAGTACATTTCCTTTTTAAGTGAATAATTTCTGAGATGTGTTTTAAAAGCTAATTTATATGTGTTTATTTTTTTTAGATGGTCTGTTCCAGGGATGAATTATTAGAGATGTCCTAGGCACTCTATAATTCAATACCGCAACCTCATCGACCACCTTGGGCCAGATGATGTAAGTTATTTACCGTTAATTTTTTAATGTATATGCATAAACCTCTCAAACTCTGTCTAACTTATTTGTCCAACTGTATTGTAGTTTGTCTGGATGTCGTACGAGGGTCTCGACCACCAGCCCAACACCGATGATGTCGCTGTGTGGACAACAAGGACACCAATAATTAGGTTCATTACAGTGGAGATGCACCAAACTGACAGGGTCAAACTACAATTTGGGATGCATCAGGATATTCCAGATGCTCCGATAGACTTGGGGCAGTGGCATCAAAAGCGGGTGGACGCACAATGGAGTATGAGTGACTGGAAGGAGTTTGCGAAGGAGTTGCGTTTACATTGGAAAAGAAGAAGGCATCACGTATTAACCGACCGTATTGTGCACGGGGCCCGACCAAGTCTTCAATACATGACTTGGTTTAGGCTGTCACGACATCTCAGTCTTTCCTGTCCCAGCCAACCTATTTGGCCGACCCAAGGGAACACGATTCTTCGTCCAACACACAGCAACATGACAATGTCCAAAATCAGCCTTACGAAAACCCATACATGCCAACAAATACCCCCTATCAACAACGACAACCCTACATGCCATCCACCCAATCCCAACCTCAACCACCATATCATTACAGCCCTGATACGTCTTTTGAGCCTAACCCATTCACCTATAGCCCAGACAACTCATTCGATCCTACCCCCTCCAACTACCCATCCAACTACCCACCCAACTACCCATCCAACTACCCCTCCAACTATCCACTGTTTTACTACCACACCCCACAACAACCAACACACCTAGACCAACCCAATTCCATGTACCAATTCGGACAACCATATCATCCATACTCCACCCAACCTCCCCGACAATCCTTCGAAAACATGGACATTGGGCCTGACTACGGAAGCGCCATTGACAGTGGACCTCCCAACTATTGGGGTCAAATGATGCAAAATCTATCTGATACGTCGGGGCCGTCCCAACAACATCCTCCTCCACAACCCAACACACAACGACCCGACACACCACAACAACCTCGTCGTAGACCTCGTCGCAACGCGCACCCTCCACAGTGTGGCACCGGTGGTCGCTTGGATAGAGTCGGCCATTAATTATTTTTGTTGTTGTAATTTTCATTATATTAATATTTTTGTTGTTGTAATTTTCATTACATTAATATTTTTGTTGTTGTAACTTTAATTATATTAATATTTTTGTTGTTGTAATTTTCATTACATTAATATTTTTGTTGTTGTAATTTTAATTATATTAATATTTTCATTATATTAATATATTTTAATTATATTATAAATTATATTTATTAATAATAATTATGTTTAAAAATAAAATAATATTTAAAAGTTCCAAAATATTAATGATAAATACTTTAAAACATTATTTGGAATTAATAAAATAATAAAAATTAAAAATACAATTTACAGCAAAAACTAAAAAAATCACTTTGCTCGTCTGCCGATTGGTACGGCAACTTGCTTTTTCTCATATTCCAATTACCCGTTTTTGCCAATTGGTATGACGCCAATTGATATGGCAAAACAATGCTGAATTGTAGCTAGTTGGGAAATTATTTAAAAAGTTTGGTATTTAATTCCTAATATATAGCTACTATAAAAAAAAATTCCTATAATTGTTACCTAAGAAAAAAAACACTGATAAAAAGTTCGTTAGTTGGATTATACTTTACCAAAACAACAAATAATATTTCCCAATTGGGAGAAGATTTTAAAAATAAATACCCTGATTTTTCATTATCCTATTTCCCAACTGGGAGAGGATTGACCAAACCTTATTAATTCTCAAACTACAACTATTTATTTGGCGCGTTTATCTCGCGTTTGTCTAGTTCTGTTAAACTTGTCATATTTTATTAAACGCCGTCGTTCCCTCCAGATTCTAAGCATTCTGGAAAATCAATAATTTCTAAGAAAATAACTCATTAATTTTCCTTTCACCAATCAACCAACATCATTTATTTCTTTACCTTACCTTCATCATTTATTTAATTTCTCTGCATTTTCCATCCAAGATCCATCTTCTAGGGTTTCGATTTCTCTTTTCGTTTGAATGGACCTTCCGCTGTACCGGAAGGCTCTCAATCTCAATTTCTATCGGAGAAACAAAAAACGACTTCTCTTAATTGCCGTTTTAGGAGCTTCCGGTTACGGTGCTTACAAAGCCTATCATTTGCCCTATGTTGTTCGGAAGAGGAACCGTCTCATGAAGCTCATTAGAGCCTTCGTTTCTCTCGCCGAGCTCGTTTCGAATTCCGCAGAAACTGTTTCAATTGTTTCTAACGATTTGAACCGTTTTCTGACATCCGAATCCGATGAAATTCCGAATAGTTTGAAGCAATTATCGAAAATTGCCACGTCGGACGAGTTTTCGATAATGGTTTCTAGGGTTTCGCAGTCTTTGACGCAGGGGATTTTGGTTGGGTATAGTAATTGTAATAAAGCATCGGAAATTGGTGTGGATGATTCGAGTTTTTCTGATAGGGTAATGGAGAGGCTTTTCTCTAAGGCTGGAACTGGTTTTGTTTCGGTTGTGGTTGGGAGTTTTGCTAAGAATTTGGTTTTGGGTTTTCACTCTAGTGAGAGTGTTGACGGGAGAGTTGATTCGGGTTCCAGGTCTCGACCGGATGCTGTTCCGGGATGGGTGAGTGTGCTTTGTGATGAAAAGTGTGGGAAGCTGATAGGGGATTGTGTGCAGACTTTTGTGAGTACTGCTGTTGCTGTTTTTCTTGATAAAACAATGGATGTTAATACCTATGATGAAGTGTTTGCTGGTTTGACTAACCCGAAACACCATGAGAAGGTGAAGGGGGTTTTGGTTTCTTTGTGTAATGGTGCTGTTGAGACTCTTGTTAGAACATCTCATCAGGTTTTGACGAACCCAAGTGTTAAATCCAATTCCAGTTTGCCAATTGAAAATGGGTGTTTGAAAACGGAGGCCTATGTTCAGGAAATCAGAATTGGAAGCTCGGTTAGTGGAGTTGGGGATTCTGGCTGGCTTGAACAGATAAAATCAACTATGTCTGTGCCAGCTAACCAGAGGTTTGTGCTTGATGTCACGGGAAGAGTGACATTCGAAACAGCAAGGTCATTTGTGGAGTTCTTGTTATGGAGAATATCAGATGGTTTCAAAAGGAGTGTTAATAAGGTTCACGATGAGGTTTTAGATAAAGGAATGCAGGTCGTTAGATATGTAGGAGCTAAATCGTCGGTTATTCTAACCTTATGTCTTGCTTTATATCTACATATTTTGGGTGGTAGTTGGGTTCTATTACATGCTTAGCATGATCATCATCCTACACTCTTACTTGTAATGCAATGGAATATAATTTGCAGCTAGATACGATCTTACACTCATGATTCAGTGAATGAAATAACTTTGGGCTGGCGTAATCTGTAAATTACTCTGCCTCTTTTAGTCTTTTTACATGTCCAGAAAAATGAATGGATTATCTTTTTTGCTTATATTTCTGTTGCTTTAGGACCGGATGTAATTAAACATAACATGGCCGGAAGCAGCAAAACTCTTAGCCTGCTTTCTCGAAAAGAAATATCATTGTTAATTTAGGTTGTGGATTCCCTATTGTCTAAGAATCACACTGTTGCCACGTTCAAGACATAGCTCCATTGGATAGATTAAAATTCAATTTAATAAAGTAGCAGTTTGAGCCATATGATTTTGATCATGTTGCTAAATTTGAGATCATGTAGCAGATTTAACTTTGTGCAGCTGTCAACTGGAACTTATGGCTGGGAATGCATCTAAATTTGAGAATCTTGGTGTAGTTAGGTGAGTTTAACTTGTCCTATGGCTAAGTAATTAGCATAAATCTGTTTCACTCTGTTGAGAATCCATAATATTTATTCACTGAGAATTTTGTTTTGTCAATAAATAAGGTACTCTATGATAAGATATCACAACCATATACTACACTTTATACATCGTTAATATATATTATTTTTAATAAGTATATTACTGTTTCATGCATTCTTTATTCTGCAATGGCGTGTTGTAATATTTTTGTATTTCTATTTATTAGACTTATGTTTTTTAATAATTAGTAATTACTCTATTTTGACCTTTAATCTGACTCAATAGGTAGATCATACTCTAATTAGTCTGCATTGTCTACACCCCAGGTCCATTTGGCCTATGTGCGCAGGGTTGTGTTGGAAACCCTGCTTTAATTGCAATCAGCCCCTAACCGTCTTAATTGTAACAAATTTGAGTTGCCTTAATTGTAGCATCCAACACCATTGTGCTATGGTTTAGTCCCACACTTTCTAGAGACTTGCTAGTCTGCAGCTTATAAGTTGATTTTGCGTGGTTGATTTAGGCAAAAGCCCAATTTCTAAGATATCTATGGAAAACAGGTTGACAATTCATCATCTTGAGTTGTTTTCTGTCTGATCACTTCTGTTTAAGCAGTGGTACATTTAACGGGTAACTAACCTTTTAAATCCGAGTGCTTTCCCTGTATTTTCAATGTATTCTCAAAAATCCGAGTGCTTTCCCTGTATTTCCAATGTATTCTCAACTGATGCTCACGTAAAAGTGGAATAGATGCATTTTTCAAATCTATTTATGAGAATGATTTCAGTACAGGGGAATGCAGTTTGAAAGTTAGAATTTTGTTAATTAAGGTCACTCTTTTCAGTTGACAGACTTCTCCTTTTTTAATCACCTCTGTTGAAGTAGTGATGCACTTCATGAGTAATGAAATCTTAGAATCAAAGACTTTTTCATATAGAGCCTTAGCATTTCTCACTGCTATACACTTAAAAAGGGATCAGATGCCTTCTATTAATGGCAATGATTCCAGTACCATGTCAATAGAGCTTGAAGTTTTCTTTAATGCGCAGACTCTGTTCAATTGAATAAATGCTGCTTTTTCTCTGCATCTCTGGAACTTAAGGGTGCCATTATTCGTCAATTGTCATACTAACTGGTGCATTATAATTTGGTTCTTTCCTTTGAGGTCGTCTGAGGCTCCGAGCTATGGCGGTGTTCAAGTTTTCTTTTTCCTACCAATGAGCTCTAATTAGAGTTAACAATTAAAAGGCTAGAGTTTGTCTTTTCATAGTCTTATAATATGCTTGCTGGTAGTTTAGTTAGTAGCAGTTGTGACCCTCAGTTGGTTGGTTCACTTGGTTGCATGTTTTCTTTGTTACACAAATACATTTTGGATTTTAAAGTCAGTCGATTTCTAGAATCTAAATTAAACTATCATGAAAAAAAAGTGAAAGGAAATGAAAAGGGTTTGTGGGTTATATAGTGTCCAAACACTTAATACGTTCTGGATTTTAAAATCTGAAAAGTAATTTTTAAAATTCGACGAATATCTAAGAAGATTAAGTAGAAAAATATTTTACATAATTTTAATGGGCATGGGACTTGAAAACATAACCAAATTAGAGCATGCACATCATCACTACATTTGTTAGCGCATGTTCACTTAGTTGCCCAAAATACCCTGTTAAACGTCACATGATATTTGGCTTTTTCAGCATTCACTCAATAGCCAACATTCACATGTAAACCAATGATATTTTGTCAGTGGTACCGCAAAACTAATCTATAACAATATATGGCAAAATATAATTTTGGTGAAATCTTTTTTACTTTCAATTTTGCTCCTAATAAATTGATTCTTTCACACTATTTTTTTTTATACTGTTAATAGATTAAATATCCTCATCTTTAGTAACAAATAATTTATTAATTAAATTAATTAAATAAGAAATGTTAATAAAAAAGTAGTAGTAACTTCTAAAAATAATTAATTGTCTTATAACCCACTAATTCCAAAAAGCATGTAACAATTTTCGTACTTAATTAAATTAATTAAATAATAAATGATAATAAAAAAGTAGTAGTAATTTCTAAAAATGATTAACTACTTTATAATCCACTAATCTCATTATTAAATGAAATAGAAGCATATAAAAACTTCCGTACTCAACTAATATTACTATATTTAATTATATATTTAATTGTTTTAATTTTGAAGATTTATAATGTATTTTATTTATGACTAAATTTATCCAAAGCTTTTTCTTAATAAAACTGAATGATAATGATTATAAAGTCCGTATACTTTAAGTTTTGATAAATTACATACTTAAAATAATCACAATTACATATTATCTTTTAAAAAGTTAAATAATTACTGATCATTATCATCAATAATTTTTCTCATACAATTTAATGAATTGTACGAATAAGTGAATTATAATTGTCTAAAAAAATTAATTGGAGTTCATAAAATACAGTTTTTGAAAATATGATTAACCAATATTTTATTTTATTTTAAAAATAACTTTTTAAAATTTTGAAAAATCTCAGTCAAATGTAAATTGTCTATTACTTTAAATCCGACGATAGAGGATAAACAATTTCTTCATTTTCCGCTCAGAATGATATATAAATACCTCTTTCATCTTCTACTTTTTCACATTCAAAATTCAAAAGAATAAACAGTTTCTCAAATTTTCTTACAAAAATGACAAGTTGTGAAAGGGTATTAAGGGACCCAGAAAAGGAGGAGCAAATAGGCACATGATGATTCTGCGCGACAACATTTAGGAAATTACAAAGCCAACGATTCGTAGATTGCCGAGGAAAGGAGGTGTCAAGAGGATAAATGGTTGATCTATGAAGAAACTAGGTTATTTCTCAAGGTTTTTTTGACAAAAATCATTCATGATGTTGCTTCATATACTAATCATGTAAGAAGGAAGATTGTGATTGTCATGGATGTTGTGTATACTCTTAAGAGACAAAGAAGAACTTTATACGGTTTCGGAGGTTGAAGAAGATACTCTCCTTTATTTATTATTATATTATCTTTTTATCGTCTGAGTTGTGTGATTTGTATTTCTGTTTCTGCATTTTTAAAAAGTTTATATCTAAGTAATAGTCAGTGATTATACAATGATCATCGTCTAAGTTATGTAATTTGTATTTGTATTTTCAAAAATGTTTATTTTCAAGTATTAGTTGGTGATTATGCAATGATAATGACTAAATACTACAATATGTTTTTTCTATTGTATGGTTTATGGACAAAATTACACTATATATGCATTATATTAATTTTATGATATTTTAGTTAAGTTAAATCTAACTTATATAATTATAGATAACCTGAATATGAGTCGTTAGTTATTTTTGTTCTTTAACCATCATTAACTTTCATTAAAAAAAATTTATGGAAACTTTAACACATATAACTCTCTTTGCATGGTGATTTTTTTCTTGGACGTATTCCATTTGTAAAGGAACGTATCCTCCCTCATTCATTCATTCTATACCATTTACTACTAAAATTTACTTCATTTGTTTTGCAGTGATACGAGAGATATTTCTGATTTTGATTCCATGGTTGACTTTCCTATTAAACAATAATGTAACTTAATATCCGTGTTAATGTTTATGTTTATTTGCTTAATAAATTTTGAGAGAGATTTTTGTTCTTATTCTATCTAAGTCTTCTTATGGTTTTGAGTAATCTATAGCAATATATAAATACAAAACTTAATTTTGGTGTAACCTAATTTTTTTCCCTTCATAATACGGTAATCCCAACCACCAAATTATTCCACTCACATTATTTATTTGCTCGAAAAAACTGGTTAAATAAAATCACGTTACAATGCAATTTTCTCAATTCAAACAAAATTTAATGCGCGAATATTACATATTGTAAACAAAACTTAATATGTATCTGAATAAAAATAAAATATTTTATCATACAAAAAATTTATATTAAAATCAATATAAATAGTTTATAGTAAAATCAAATTTATAAAAAAACACGTTACCCGTTTAGACGCTAGTAATAGATAAAATAAAAATTCGCAAAAAAATGAAGACATGAGTTCGAATGATTATCTCCTAAAATCAACGGTTTTTAATATGAGTTTGAGCACCTTAAAACTCATCTCATCTCATACTACATAATATATATTTATATTTATAAATTTATATTAATATATATAAATTTATGTCTATTTATTTTTAAAAAAGGTTAAATATGTTTTTTAGTCTCTAGAAATAAGTCATAATCTAGTTTTAGTCCCTCTAACATTTTTGTTCAAATATTCGTCCTTCAAAACTTTTCAGTCCCTACTTTTTTTTCATCCCCGATGTCTATTACACTTGACGAAATCTTATGTGACGGACGAGTTGAAATTTTTTATTAATTTTGTGTAGATGAATGGATGATTAAGCACGTGTTGCTGAACATATAATTTGCCACCTAAGTTCCTTTATTAGTTTAG